GTAAAACCAATTACTGGGTTAATTTGTATGTGTCAGATTTGAGATAAGCGTATACCTTTCAGACCAACCGAAAATGCGACTGTTTCCTATGTTAACATGTATCGATGCATTGGAAGAAGAGTTATAAGACGTAGTGGAAGGCACCATACTATCTCGCCAAGTTTAAATATTGGTAGATGCCACCTTCACAAAAACTGTATCACTATATTTTAAGTATATATATAGATACACCCATCCCTTAGAATGGATTGTAACTCTATAAGGATTGTAACCTGGCTCTACAGGTCTTTTTGACCCTTGGCCTTCCTGACTATATCTCACGGCCCTTGGAAGAATTCCTCCAATTCAAGACACTCGAATTTACAGCATCTCACGCCACCTCATTCTTCCAGCGGCTTCTCGGTCTTCCTCCTTTTTTTTTTCAATTATTTATATATCTAGCATCTTCTTTTGAACCCTCTCTTCGTTAATTCTTGCAACATGAACTGCCCATCGCAGCCTACCTGCTTTTATATAATTAACTATATCATGGTTTTTCATAATGGCTGCAATTTCTGCTCTTGATCCTCCACTTTCCATCAATCTGTACAGCCTCGTATATCCTTCTTACAATCTGTCTCTTAAAAACTCAGAATTTTTGAGTGGTAGGTACCAGGTTTCCCACCCGTAGGTGACAACCGCCTTGATCAGAGCATTATACAGCTTTGGTTTGGTCTTAATAGAAGGTATCTTTGATTTGAGGAGTTTCAAGTTCGCATAATACGCCCTATTTTTGGCCATTATTCTATTTTGTATTTCATGACTGATCTTGTTTTCTATATTTATCGAGGAGCCTAAGTAAGTGAAGTTGGAGACGCCTTCAAACTTATAATTGAGAAGTGAGACGCTGTTGCTTCTCTGGTTATTTACGGCTTTTAATAGCATATATTTTGTTTTTTCTTGATTTGGGGTGAGTCCAACCCTGCTACCTCTTTTTAAAATAATTTCTAAGGCTTACTTTAGTGCTACTTTGCTTCTGACCATAATAACCAAATCATCTTTATACGCGCATATTTGCCAGGTTTTATTGGCTAGCGTTCCTGCTTTAATTGCATCTTTAACAGTCGAATGTAAGGCCAAGTTTAAGTGTCGCAGTTAATTCTTCGCCCTCCCTTACTCTAAAGATAACACACAGAATGGATTGTATTATAAGATAAGGTTATTTCCTTGTTTATTTTGGTTTATTGTGATCGACTAAAAAAATTCAAAAACTTAACACCCTCTCAAAATTTGAGGTTTCACGTTTCAGGATGCGTAGAATTCGAAAAACGAATAAAAATTTTTTTGTCCGTCCGCCTTCGGCGCATTTTTTCCAAAACTACTGGACTAATTTTTTTCAAATTTGGATATAAAATCAGAGGTCACCCGAGGATGATCCTCCTTCATCGACATTACTATCCGCCTTTTACTTTCAATATGGCGGCCAAAAAACCTGCGTTGCTATAGACTGTAGATCCTAAACGAATGTACCAATTTCAATGAAACTTTGCTAAAATCATTTTCTTAACGCCCTTTAAATTTATCTATATAACATACTTCAACGAAAAGAAGCTGAAAAAAGTTACGAGCGATGGTAAAATTTAATTCCGAATAACTCAAAAAGTATACACGTTTTTCGAGATATTGTATATGGTTGTTTTAAAAATTTACGGAATTTTCTAAAAAAAAAAAAAAAAAAAAAAAAGATAAAAATCAGACAATTAGGAACCAAAGATATGGTCTCCAGTTTTTTTGGTTTATTCTTTGTTATATGTTCTGCTCCAAATGTTATAACCTTTGTTTGGTTTTAAATTTTTAATGTGTTACTGAAGTGATGCTATTTGTTTTTAGCATATTACTAATGATTAAAAAAAAGTTTAGTCCAATAATTGGAATCATCTTTTATTTATTTTTCTTTGTAACTAGGAAGGTAATGCTACATTAGATCTATATTTGTTTGAAAATAATAAACCATTGTGAAATAATTTGCAGCATTTTTTTTTATGTATTTAAGGTTTTAGTTTTTCGATTACTGAAAATTTATATTCATCGGAAAATACTCATGAGATCATTATTAATGTGATATGAAACAAAAAAAAAAAAAAAAAAAAAAAAAATGAGAATATGCACAATTATCCTTCCTACCTCATCGGTAGAATACGAAAGGTCAATACTAATTTTACCTGCACACTTATTTTTCCTCAATTAACTCGAGTTCCTTAAGGTATAAACCAAAGCCCCATCACCACTTCATGTCCTAACAAATCAAAGCAATAAACACACGCTGATTACAACTCTGTAATCATCCATTTATTACACTATAGACTCTCTAGCCACACAAAAAAGTTTACGGATTAAAATAAACTTCAACAAATTCACATCTAATTTCATCCCTACCCGATATCATATACTTGTGTATCCTAAACCATCTAGTGTTTTTTAAAAGTTTGAAACTTAGTTATGATGGGTTTATCGTGAACTATCAACTTTTTTATGATCATTTTATTAGAAAATGGTGTTAAAATGTATAAATAGCAATACTAGTGGTTAATAAGAACGATTATAAAAAATCTAAAAAATTCTCTATGATTGTGTACTATAACACAATTATAAATTTAGGATTTTTCATAGATCAAACCCTCTCCTGGACCTACCATATTTCTCACATTTCCCGTCGGACAATTTCTACCCTTAAACTATTTCATCGCTTCCGCCATCTCCTACCTCAACATATCCGTAGACTCCTAATTTCCTCTCTCATCTTCCCCCACTTTGACTACAACTGTTCGGTGTATGATGGCCTCTCGGTGGAGCTCCGTGATAGACTGAAAAGATTAATGAATAGCTGCGTAAGATTTGTTATTGGTGCCCCGAGGTACTCCCATGTCTCTCACCACTACACTGAGTTAAGGTGGCTCTTCCCCTCCTTCCGAAGACAATATTTTCTAGGTACGTTCCTCTCTCAAATCATCAACAACCATCGTCCTTCTTACGCCTACAACCTTCTCCAGTTCAAATCCTCAGTCCATTCCCTGTCCATAAGATCTCGACCTTCTGACCTTTACATGCCTTCTCACAGATCTGCCTCATTCCAAAATTCCTTTATTGTTCGCTCTGTCAATTTCTGGAATTCCCTCCCTATCAAAATTCGACATTCCCTCTCCATATCCACATTCAAATCCCTCCTATTCCAATTCCTATCACAAAAACAGTCAGATACTTGCTAACCATTCGAGCGGATTTTAATAGAGAATTTGATACATTTTTATTTTTTAATTCTTTATTTTTTTCGGAAATGTGTATACTGGTCTATAAGAGCAAATAGCTTTAAGTGTCTTGTCATAGTATTAATGGTTTTGTATATAGTTTAGTTTGTTTTGTATATAGAATTTTTACCTTATATTTTTTTTTTTTACATTATTTCTTTTTTTCGATTGATTTTATTTTGGCCAAATGTAATATTTTAATTTTGTTCTATTTTGTTATTCTCAAGGGGCTGTGTCCCAGAATAAAGTTATTTTTCTATCTATCTAACATTCTTTGTAATCATTGTGAAAACAAATGGAGAATTAAAATCAATGCCAACAAATCAACTCATGTTAGCTTCACCCTGAGGAAGATCTTGTTTCCTTCTATGACAATAGACAATAAGCCAGTTTCCTCAAAAACCCATGTACGGTATCTCGGACCATATTTTGTCTATACAACTATACAACTGCAATTATTAAAAAGGTTTTAACCTATTTAGGTGGATTATTTTCTGAGTAAGTTCCGACAGCCACAAACAATTTTTTTTAAATTTAAATTAGTTACCCGAAAAAATACGACAATATAAGCAATATAGTATAATAGGTTGAAGGAAATAATTAACTGGACAGTGACGAAGATGTAGAGTCCGGCAGAATTTAGGGGGGACAAATTTTGAAATAAATTAGATTTTTAGGCAAATTAATAAATATTAGTTTCCGATTTTTTTTTCCACTTCAATTCAATCCAACAATGATTTAACATAATGAGAGAAAAAACACACACACAAAAAAAATGTAATGAGATGATAATATTAGTTTTGAAATATGTTAGCTAAAATACTGTTATAAAACTGTTCTATTAGTGAGGGGAAAAGAGAGAGGTTAAAGAAAAGACAGTAAAATTAAACTTGCTCCTTCTAGGAAAATCGTCATTCATAAATAAGAAATTACAATCTTATGTATCTCAATATTATTTAAAAAATAAAATAAATAAATAAATTTAAAAAATGTACAATAAATTATATATTTTTTTATTTATTTCCTCATTGGTTCCTCATTTATTACCTCATGACCCTTGCCATGGAATACGATGAATATAAATCATATATTAACTAATCAACTACATTATCCTAAAACGGGACCAGCTAGTCGATCGGATGTGATTCCTAGTTAGATTAAAGTCCGAATCGATTTCAATAGCAATAGATAGCGGACAGTGGCAGACAGTAAAAAAATAGATTTTAGATCATTTCATTACAGATTTAAGTTAACAATAATTATAATTAATAAAAAACAACATTTCATAAAATAGCGTAAGTAGCCAGAGATAGTTGGGCAATGAAGGAATGTGACGAAGAAGGTCATAGGATAACGAGTACATGATCTATCGAGAAAAAATGATCATTATTCCAATCATTTTTTGTCACATGTATATAATTCTAGGAACAAAAGCTCACTCTTTACACTCTTTACCACAATTGCACTCTTTACCATCGCCATTGAACAACCATTTTTCGCTATTTCCCTAACTATAGACCATATTATTTAAATTAATGCAAGATAGTTGTCTTAAGAAAAAGTTCAATATTACAAAAAAAATCAAGGCAACGAATATTTTCTACGAAAAGGACTGATATTATTACATTTCAATAAAAAATCATCTAGCAGTCATAAAATATTTTATAAAAATTATGTTCCATACTTAAACAAGGTTATCCTTTTCTGACACGTTAATCGATAAACAAATATAAGTATAAAAGTCTAAGTAAATTGTATTCTTTAAAAAAGTTAATAAAAAGCAAAGATTATGTTTGAAAAAACAATTATTTATTTATTTGTACAACGCGATAATTTATATAAATCGCCCTGTGAAAATTCGTGTTAAAGTTCTCTGCTTGGAAGTACTGAAGATAAAAAAAAATATATTTTAAACAGTTCCATATTTATTTAAAAGCATATCCCACCTTCAATCAATAGAAAAGTCTAAAAATAAATTTTCTTGGCACCTTCAAAACGTGGCTATCATGTTATTTGTTATAGAGATCATTTTTTAAGATTAAAAAGTAAATAATAAAATAATCTAATGAATTGATGCAATAATAGCTACTATTTTTTAAGGTAACTTGTACTAAATACAATGGGAGACTATGTAACTCCTGCTCGGTTCTCCAATCTTAGTTTGGAACAAATGACGATATAGAGGCTTGAATAACCTTTATACTGAACAATATCTCGAAAGAAGAAGATAAACTGTTTTGAGATAACTCTAAATATATTAAAAGGCAATTTAAATACAAAAATGGGTTGTGAACCAGTTCAAGGGAGGGGTCGGCAATCAGCGATAGAAGCGATACCGGCCTGGAGGATAGGACACGCTTCTTCGACAAAGACTTCTCCTTACTATATAAACCGCTTTAACTTTGGTTTGGGCAGGTATCCTCAGGAATACACTGAACATGTTCGCATCCGCTCTCACTCGCTTCTCGGTGATCTTCGCCGTCCTTCTGGTCGTCAATGTAAGTATTTCAGGCCTTTAAGATGGAGGATTATACTCAGGAGTATACTGCACATCTTTTGATTATTATAATTAAAACTGAAAATACTATATGTTACCGTGTACTTAAAGATTTTTTTTCTTCTATAGTATGCCAGCTCCAAACCTTGCGGTTGCGGATGCTGCGGCTGCGGTGGCGGCTGTTGTGATTGTGGATGTGATTGCGGCTGCGGTTGTGGTGGAGGTTGCGGCGGCGGCTGTGGAGGTGGTTGCGGCGGCGGTTGTTCCTGTGGAGCCCTCATAGTACCCACTTGCGTCTCCACTGGTGGATGTGGTGGTGGCTGCGGTGGTGGATGCGGTGGTGGATGCGGTGGCGGATGTGGTGGATGCGGCGGATGCGGATGCGGCTGCTGTGACTGCGGATGTGGTTGCGGTGGTGGATGTGGTGGTTGCGGAGGCTGTGGTGGTTGCGGAGGCTGCGGCTGCTGCGTCCCAATCTGCTCTTGCGGAGGCTGCGGAGGTTGTGGAGGTTGCGGAGGTGGATGCGGCTGCGGTTGCGGTGGATGCGGAGGCTGCGGCTGTTGCTGTTGCTAATCTCGTCCGGCCAATCCATGTCGGTATCGAACAAAAACGAAAGAAAAACCTTTTTTTCTAGTCTCTTCAAGTTACTAAAATAAAAGATGAAACAACAAAAAAAGATAAACCTAGATGGTGGAAATTAAAAATCTGAATTTTTTAAATTTTTAAAATTCAGATTTTGGTCTGAACATTCTTGGGTACTTTAATAAATCTGATTATAGACTGGATATGTGTATTTTTGTTTATCAATGCATTCCCCGTAATTTCAAAGCATATTTTTATAAAGGTATGTATAAATGAATCCACATTGGCAGAACATGAAATATTTAGATTTGGACTTTTTTATTACTATTTTATGAATAACATTAAACAAATACAAATAGTAAGAATTTAAAACGAATGGTATTAATTAGATGAAGTATTTCATGAAAAAATAAAGATTCTTTACATTAAAATGTTTGAACCGAAATTGCAAAAACACAAAATTAGTTAATAGAGTGTAGTATCTCAAAAAATTAAACATATTTTAATATAATTTAGAAAATATTTTGTACAAAGTGTTTATAAAAAATAAAATGAATAAGAATAAATTCTATACAAATTTACTCTCAAACTAATAAAGAAACTCAAATAAAGGACCTTTTTTGAAATGATTAAAATAACTAGATTGTTTTTAAAGCATGTGTTTAAACAATTTTAGATTGTACATTTAGAATTAACTCATCCACAACGCAAACGTTCCTTAAATTATAGCTTGAATTTCACGATTTATAATCTCATTGGGATTTCAGTTATCAAAATGTCTAATGCAATTCATTGTAAGTTTAAAAACGACGACGAATAGTTTGTTACAATCGTTCTTATGAATATGAGCTGCATGTTAAAGCTGAAACTGAATTTCTGTTAACTAAATTGAAACTTACTAGTCTGAAAAAAATTACTGAGAAAAACATAAGATAAACAGACTTCCTGATATTGGATACGTAAGGAACAACCTCTTTGATTAATCGCATTGTCTTTGGTATTTATTATTTCATTGGATTTTATTTCATTAGATTAAGAAGAGTTCATTGCGCGCTAGAAATCTCTTTTGGGCGATTTATCATAAGCCGGATTTCAGTCTTTGATTAGCCAATGTTGAGAGTTGAATTGAGTGATTAAATGATTGGTAAAATTTTAAATATATTAACTATTTCAAGTTTAAAATTTTATTATTGAAGATTATAGACTCGTTTGGATTATTTTATCTTCCAAGTTGTTATTCCAATTTTAGCTAGACCTGACGTAAGTGTTTCTCCAAGAAAAAATTCAGTTTGTGCATTACGATTTTTCAACTACGTTACATAACGCATTGACATTGAAAAAAAAATTAATAATTGCATAACTTTTTTTAAAAATAAAATGTTTGAAAAAGTCGAAATTGAAAAAACACAAATTTAGTTAATACAGCGTCAGATGTCAAAAATTAGTTATATGTGAACATAATTTAGAAAATATTTTGTACAAAGTATTTATAAAAAATAAATTGAATAAGAATAAATTCTATACAAATTCGCTCTCAAACTAATAAAGCAACTGAAACAGCGGGCCTCTTTTGAAATTATTAAAATGGCTAAATTGTTCTTAAAGCATGCGTTTAAGCAATTTGATGGAGGTTTTATTCTGAAGAATTTTAGATTGTATATTTAGAATTAACTCATCTCCAACGCTAGACTGAAAAAATTTGAAATTAAGAATTTAATTAAGTTTAATAAAAAATTAATAAATTTAAAAATCAAAAATTCAAGTTTAAAATTTTATTGTTGAAGATTATAGACTCGTTTGGATTATTATATCTTCCAGGTTGTTGTTACAATTTTTAGCTAGACCTGACGTAAATATTTCTCAAAAAAAAAAATTTAGTTTGTGCATTATGATTTGTTAACTACGTTACATAACACCCTAGCGTTGAGAAAAAAAATAATAATTTCATATTTTTTTTTTTAATTTTTCGAATCAATTAATTATTATAATGGTAAAAAGATAATATATATTTAATAAAATAATATAATATATATGTAATATATATTTTACATATTTGTATATGATATACTCGGTGAAGATCACATGTTAATTAAAAAAAAACAAAAACAAATGTTAACCGAAATAATAATAATCACATCCTGGAAGCCCGGAGAAGAACAGACATTAAGATACAAATTTTAATAGTGTTTATTTTAGCCAAATGATTGGAGAGTCGCATAAATAAATCGAATAAATACATGAATAAATTGTATTTATTTATTATTATTTACTTATATGCTCCTGCTTTATTTAATACTTCTGTTCACTTATACTGTTTCTTTTTATGCCTTTTACAAAAGTATTATATTGCAATATTATTTTATTATTTTAAACGCTGTATAAAAATATATGCTAACAAGAAATGGAAATAACATTTTTTTTTGTGTGTGTGGGGTGTTAATATTCTTCACATAGAGAAATATTTTAATAAGATATTAATAAAATTTTAAAAAATGTACAAAAGTGCTATTTTTAAGGTAAGAGTTGTGCCCGGATGTGATTTGGACGGGATCTCGCTGAGCAGTCCGTTTTTTTTCCAAAATTAAAGTTATGCACTTTATAGAGACTGAGTGTGCCCCAGGGAGATCTCTCGAGACACTGCGGTCGATCGAAGCTGTTGAACCACGGCCAAACTCAAACCATGGTTCTGGACATAATAGGAACACTCACTGAGCTACCCCGATCCATTCATATTAATAAAATATTATATTTATAATTATATAAATATATGTCTATCTATATCTGTATATATAAACATATAGTTTTATATATCTTTATATTATATTTATTACTTTAGATACTAGTTAACATGCCTTCTACACGGACTACGCGTGGTTCACAATCACTTCGGTCACACTTATTCGTGGAATCCCGAAAACAGCCGAATGTTGCCTTCTTTTATGAAGACAGTTATTTCTCCAACCTTTTCATGCTTTTTTGAAAAACCCTGATATCCCCTTCCTAGAACTTCCTTATTATCAACTTATTAATGAATTCTGTATTTACTTATTTGTTAATTATTAATTTTTATTATAACGGTAACTACTCTGGAGGTAAAATAAAGAAAATATAGAAAATGATATTTGAGTCGATCTTCAAGTCCTGTTAAAAAACAAATGCTTTTAGGAATAGATTTTTTATTGACTCGAGTTAACTGTAAATACGGATATACTATTGTATATAATCTTTTTTAACTGTGTATAAAAGATTTTTTAAATATTTTTATATTAAATAATCTGAAGTTATCGTTTTTTGAATTTTTTTTCAATAAAAGTTGTATAATCGAATTTATAATTTATTTAAGCAAGCACTTTTTAGAATTGCGCAATTTTCTGCTTAATTTATGTAAGGTTTTTGGATTTCTTCGATATAAGAGTCCACTATTTTATAGTCGTCGGAACGTTTTATGAATATATTGTCGCATTTGAAATTGTGCATCGAATTTTTGGATTTATTAGATATAAGAGAGTTGTCATGGAAGCTTTTTATGAAAATAATGTAAGATTTAAGATTTCTCCAGAAAAGTGGAACTTTATATAGATGAATTTAAAAAAAATTAACACTGCACTATTGCGCAATCTTAAATCCGACAAAAGTTGTTTGATTATTATTTAGTTATTATTTTACTTTTGCGTATTTTGTTTTCAGTATATATGGTGTGAATGTGTTCATGTCTCACTATAATTATTGTCCATGTGACAGGTTATTATTATATTTCTAAATAAAAAAAAAAAATCCGACTGTATTTACATAAAATGCGCCCTCACCAACTTAAGAGTGGACCCTTATTTTGATGAAATCCAAAAGTTATTACAACGAAACTTAGATGGCAATTAACGAATATTGATAATAGATGATTCAGGATATCTATAACGACTATATTGTATCTAATAATCGTTAACTAGATAAATATTTATTCAAGTAATGTCCAAACCCAATGGGTTATACCTCATTTTAATCGCTAATATTCTATTGAAAATGGGGACTTATCACAGGCGTATCTAAAATGTAACGATATTTTATGGAAGAAAAAATATGTCTTAAAATATTATCGTTCGTGTAATTTAAAAAGACTTCAAGAATCACTTAAATACCATTTCAGATAGGTAGTTAGTATCTTTATTTTTTTTTCCAAAGTAATTGCGGTGTAAAAACAAGTGAGGAAGAATATCTGATAATTCCGAGATGATGAATAATGGGAAATTGCAATAAGAAAAATAAACATCGTGAAATATCATTCGGAGATATAATAATTAAAATTTTTTATCTATTACTACTTCTTTTCCACAACTGTATAATATACGTACAAGTTCGATTAAGGTTACACGATGTACTCTAAATTTGGAATATAATTCGGCTCCTGCTAAATAACTAAACATGGTTGAGGATATAGAAGTACTTAAATGGCGAGAAAATTAACAGAAACTGACTCAATAGATCGGTCGCGTTCTTTCTCTTTCGCATATCCGGCACTCCATGAACAAGTATGACTGAAGTGATTATGAACCACTAGTAGCAGTAGTGAAATAGTACCTATTTTTTTATATTATAAAAAGAAAATAAATAGAATCATAGCAAAGAAAGGATTCTACTACCACTTCCCTAACGAAATTCTCAACATATTTCTAAAGAATTATCCATGCATCAGAAATATAAATCAGATGATTTTGAAGAGTGGTAGATGTACGAACAGGGTTTTTAACTGAGCTGAGTATTGGGGTATCGTCTACGAAAGTAGCCAGTAGTATATCATTCCATTGCGGTAAGTGTGATATATATATATATATATATATAAAATAATATTGACCCAAGATACCCCTACTTTAATTGCCTTAATTTCAGAACGTTCTGTCCCTAATTTTACTACAAATCGTCTGTCATTCAGATATGAGTGCAATATTAGATAGTAGATCGGAGGCAGTAAAATTTTAAGTTTGGAAAGCAATCCTTCATGGAAAACTTTATCTTTATGGAAAGCCTGACTAATGTCAAGAAAAACTCCAGTAAAATCATTTTTAGATCCTAAAGAATTATAAGTATAATCTATCAATCGATGGCATTGATCGGACCATAGGGACTAGGAGATTTTGAGGATTCGTTAGGTTTTAATACCAAGACAACTTTAAAATATTTCCATAGGGTTGGGATGTGGATGACTCTCAGG